GGGGCGGGGGGCTCGGTGCTCGGGCATCCGGGAGACGCGAGGGGGCTCTCCGGCAGCGCCTGGGGGTCGGCGTGGCAGGACTCGACGGGGCATCCTGCGGGAGGCCATGCCGCGCTTCCTCGCCGCCGGGCCTGGTCTGCCCTTCCGTTCCTGGATCTGCGACAGGTGGCTGACGCAGGTCTTGTAGAAGGGCTGGACGTCTACGTAGTCATGGCATGGGCTGAAGAGGAGGATAAATGATGCCGGAAATAAAATATATATATATAACACCACAATAATATAACTTCACATTATTTTCGAGGTACGTACATTAACATTCATATAATACATGTGTGTTTCATTTACAAATAATTCAAAATAATAATAAAAAAAGACTCACAACGCCGCAGAACCGTAGTGTAGGAGGAACTTGCGACATAAATGGTGAGCTCGGTTGTTAGAAGGAATTTCGAGCGACACTTGGTCTGGCGAACAGTTGGCACCCACCTGCCAGCTCTGGCTGAACACCTCTCCGCTGAGGGCCACCTGGGGGAGGGGTGCCAATAATTAGTATTATATAGGTTTGATTCTCTGTCAGTTTGTCTGCTTGTCTCTCTCTTATTCTTTATTTTTTCATTTTTTCTGTTTCTGTCTCTCTCTCTCTCCTTTCTCACTTTCCTTCTTTCTACCTTTCCTTCTCCTCCCTCCCTCTTTCCCTCTCCCTCTCCCTCTCCCTTTTTCTTCCATTTCTCCCTCTTTCTGTCCGTCTCTGTCTCTCCCTTTCCCTCCCCCTCATCCCAGCACCCCACCAGCAACGCCCCCCGTACACCCTCTCAAGCCCGTCCTCCTCACCCCGCCGCTGGGCCTCATGAGCTCGTTGGTGAGGTCGAGGTCGTAGTGTCCCAGAAGGCCCCGAGTGTCCCCGTGGAGCCACCCGCTGACCCCGACGACGCAGGCGTGGTAGGAGTCCCAGCAGGAGACCGTCACGAGGTCGCGTCCGAGGCTGTCCTTGGCGCTGAGGGAGAGGAGTTGGGGGTCCCTCTTGACACTCAGGACGGCGCTCGAGTAGGGCAGAGGGACGCGGTCGCCGTCCACCTCCACCTTTGGGGGTTGAGAAGGAATAATAAACCAGATAATAAGGAAATAATAATAAAGAAGCAGAGACAAAGTGACAGAGAATACAGTATTAAACTAAAGAAGGCATAATAAACCAGATAATAAAGAAATAATAAAGAAACAGAGACAAAGTGACAGAGAATACAGTATTAAACTAAAGAAGGAGTAATAAACCAGATAATAAAGAAATAATAATAAAGAAGCAGAGACAGAGTGACAGAGAATAAAGTATTAAACTAAAGAAGGAATAATAAACGAGAAAATAAGGAAATAATAACAAAGAAAGAGAGACAATGTGACAGAGAATACAATATTAAACTAAAGAAGGAATAATAAACCAGATAATAAGGAAATAATAATAAAGAAACAGAGACAGAGAGACAGAGAATACAGTATTAAACTAAAGAAGGAATAATAAAGCAGATAATAAGGAAATAATAATAAAGAAACAGAGACAAAGTGACAGAGAATACAGTATTAAACTAAAGAAGGAATAATAAACCAGAAAATAAAGAAATAATAACAAAGAAAGAGAGAAAGTGACATAGAATACAGTATCAAGCTAATAATTTAAGAATATTATTTTCTGAAGGAGAATAGCCAAAGTAGCGTCCTTATAATTTGTGAATGGACGTATATGTTTGAGAAGTCTATGTTAGATCTCCTAAATTACATAAATAGAAAATAATGATACTAATAAAAATTTAGAAATAAAGATCATGAAAAAACAAGAAAATTAACAAAAGATACACATAAAAAATGAAACAAACACAAAATAAGTAATAAAATAAATACAACAAAATGAAAAAAAAAAAAGAAAAGAAATAATAACGGAGCAAAAATACGCTTAGACAAAACAACAAAAACAACAAAAATTACGGTAAAGAAAAAGAAAGAAAGAAAGAAAGAAAGAAAGAAAGAAAGAAAGAAAGAAAGAAAGAAAGAAAGAAAGAAAGAAAGAAAGAAAGAAAGAAAGAAAGAAAGAAAGACAGACAGACAGACAGACAGAAGAAAGAAAGAAAGAAAGAAAGAAAGAAAGAAAGAAAGAAAGAAAGAAAGAAAGAAAGAAAAAAACACATACACACAAACAAAACCCCTCTTCAGCCTCACCTGCAAGTCCGCCAACACCTTAAGAGTTGTGTCTCCCAAGAAGAGAGTGTACTCGCGCCTGTTCTGCGTCGCGTTGAAGCTGGAGACGAGAGTGAACAGGCCACCGCGGGCGTCGGTGGCCAGGACGTGGGCGCAGGACGGGGTGAGGGCGTAGGTGAGGCCGTCCAGGGTGATGAAGTGGTTCTCCCCGACGATCGCTCCGTAACCTGGGTGGGCGTGCGGGCGTGGGCGGAAAAGCGATGGATTATCTACTTTAAATTCGTTGGGCGGAAAAGTAATCGGTTATCTATTATCTTCAATTTCGGGCGTGGGCGGAAAAGTAATGGATTATCTATTATCTTTAAATGCGGGCGTGGACAAAAAAGAATGGATTATCTATTATCTTTCAATTCGGGCGTGGGCGAATAAATATTGGATTATCTATTATCTTCAAATTCAAACATTCCCTATACTCATGAATATTACATAAATATAAACATCGTGAATTTGCGGACTGTAACCTAGTCATGTATTGGCAATAAGTAATGATTTATCTTCAAATTCATCCTATCTTTACACTTACTTCTAATCATCTTAAACATACCCTATACTCATGAATACGTAAATGTAAACATCATGAATTTACGTTGGCAAAAAAAGTAATATATTATCTTTGTTCTACCTTTACACTCACTTCTAATAATTTTAAGCATACCCCCATGAAGAATGTATAAACATGACCATCTTGAATTTGATCTTCGAATATCGTTGCAAAATATATAAAATTGATCTGCAACCTTCAAATTAATACTACCTATGCACCCATTTTTCTTATCTCAAACATGCCCTATACTCTCAAAAATTACATAACTGCCAACATCTTGCAATTGCACTTCGAATATGTGATCGTTGCAAAAAAAAAATACAACCGATCTACAACCTTCAAACTCATACTACCTTTCCACCCATTTTCCACATCCCAAACATACCCAATACCCATGAAAATCACACAAATCCCCAACATCTTGACTTTACACTTCGAATAAACTCATTTTAAAACATTTTTTTTTCATTTCAAAACAGCTTCCGTCCGCGCATCACACCTGTAAACGGCGGGACCACTCGATGGAACAGCTCGGAGGGGTGGGTGAACAGGTGCCACCAGCGCTGAACTGCCGCAGGGAAGGTCAGTCGATGCCGGGCCGCCCTCGTGCTGCCAGTGAGCAAGTGCCACACGTCGAAGAGGGAGTGCCCGCATTCTGGCAGCGGGATCTACGAGTGGTAGGAATAAATGTTAAAAAGAGACGATACAGTATTAAACTAATGGTTTTCGATCCATCTCAAAGTTAGGAGACGATACAGTATTAAACTAATGGTTTTCAATTAATCTCAAAGTTAAGAGACGATACAGCATTCAACTAATGGTTTTCAATTCAATCTCAAAGTTAAGAGACGATACAGCATTCAACTAATGGTTTTCAATTCATCTCAAAGTTAAAAGACACTATACGAGTATACTGTTAAATTAATACAGTATGCAATTCATATCAACGTTAAAAGAGACAATACTTTTTTAAGTTTATACAGTATTAAATTCTTCTCAAAATTAAAAGTGAGAAACAGTATCTATATCTAATGACGATTTTTCCTAGCACTGGTTTCCTAGAAAAGAATCTGCTCTACAGATCTTTTTATTCCGATTCAAGAACCACGTAGATTCAAACATAAGCTAACCATAAAAGCATATTGAAATACATTATACCACTTCATAACGAAACATTAACACATACTCTCAACCACTCGTAGAAATTCAACAACGACACAAATCTAATCCAATGAATTTCATAGATCGAGAGAAAGCAAACAATAATTAGTCAAAAACAATAACAATAAACAATAATATAACAACAAACGATATTTTAGTCCATAAACAATAAACAATAATATAACAACAAACGATATTTTAGTCCATAAACAATAAACAATAATATAACAACAAACGATCCATAAATAATAAACAATAATATACACAAACGATATTTTAGTCCATAAACAATAAACAATAATATAACAACAAACGATATTTTAGTCCATAAACAATAAACAATAATATATCAGAAAACAATATTTATCAACAAACGCCATAATTCTTTACCCAGATGTTCCAGACGCCGGCAGCCACTTCTGAGGAGTAAGGCGTCCCGTTCCAAGGATACACCAAGGAGAAGAGCTGCAAGGAATTAATATAGTCCTTATGGCAGTTCCTAAAGGCGGCAGTAATATAAGTGATGCAGATTTTTTAATCTAATATTTTTAATCTATTTTTTTCATATATAAAAGAATTAGTCTTTATGGGAGTTCCTAAAGGCGGCAGTACTATAAGTGATGCAGATTTACATTTTTTAATCTAATACTTTTTTTTAATCTAATATTTTTAATCTATTTTTTCTTATATAAAAGAATTATAGTCTTTATGGGACTTCCTAAAGGCGGCAGTAATATAAGTGATGCAGATTTACATTTTTAATCTAATATTTTTTTTAATCTAATATTTTTAATCTATTTTTTCATATATAAAAGAATTATAGTCTTTATGGGAGTTCCTAAAGGCGGCAGTAATATAAGTGATGCTGATTTACATTTTTAAATTTAAATTTTTTTAATCTAATATTTTTTAACTAATATTTTTTTCTTATATAAAAGAATTAGTCTTTATGGGAGTTCCTAAAGGCGGCAGTAATATAAGTGATGCAGATTTACATTTTTTTTCATCTTTCCTCTTGTAATTTGAGTCTAGGATTTATTATTCATGATTTAGATATTCATTTGTCTATTTAGATGAAAATATTAATTGCCGATTTGGTATTGTGCATTTATTTATTTTTTCCTTCCTCTCTAAATTTCAATCTTATTCTAACGTCTATTAATGATCTACTTGTCTGAATAACAATAACAAAAACATCAATTGTTGATTAGGCACTGATCAACATCTTAATCTAACTATTCATAATAACAAAACACTGGCACTGGCACTGGAATCTATTTAAAAAAAATGAAAATTAGAGACTGGAATTTCATTATTGATATGGTACTGGAATCTGTCTATTTGAAAAAAATGTTGATTAGGGACTGAGACACACAACAGACCTTATGTACCTTAATCTATAAAAAAGACTCATTCTTGATAAGGCACTGGGATCTATCTACTCGAAAAAAAAAATATGTTGATTGGACACCGTACGTGAAACACACCACTGACCTTATGCACGTAATGTACAGTCGTCCTTGTGGCAGTAGTGAGGAAGGCATACACCTTAGAACCCTGGACGTATCTCACATATGTCATGATCCAGTCCACAGCGTCAGACACCATGGGCACTGACAGGGCTTGAGGCGAAGGGGAAAAATGGTCAGTTGATTTTGATGTATTTTGGAGAAAAGGTTGTTTATTCACTGGTGGGAGTTGATTTATATCATGTTTGGGAATTTGGGATAAAAGATTTCACTTATACAATTTCTCTATTTTTTTGTTTCTTTCTCGCCTTCTTTTTCTTTCTTCCTTTCTCTCTCTCTCTCTCTCTTTTTCCTCCTTCCCTCTATTTCTTTCCCCCTCCCTTCCTCCTTCTCTCACTCCCCTTCCTCTGTTACCCTTTCTCCCTTTCCCATTCTCTCTCCTTCAGCCCCTCAACTATCTGCTCTTTTTCTCCCTTTCTCTTTCTCTACCCTCCTCCTTCTCTTCGCTCACCTTTTTTTTCCCTCTTTTTCTCTCCTCCCCTTCCTCTTTCCCTTCTTTCACCTTTCTTCCTCTTCTCTTTTCTCCCCCTCTCCCTCTTCTCTCCCCTTTCTCTCTTCCTCCCCCTCCTCCTCCTCTTCACCTCCCCTTCCCTCACCACCCACCTCCCTCCTCTTCTCTCACTTCCCCCCCCCCTTTCTCTTTCCCTCCTTCTCATCCTCCTCCTATTCTCCTCCCATTCACTCACCCTTTCTCCCTTTCTCCTTCCTCACCTTGATCCAACACCATCCGTGGCAGATCCGAGACGAAGTTCGCCGTCGCCGAGATCGTCTCCTTCAGTCCCTCGATGATCTGCATGAGGAGGAAGCCCGCGTTGGTCACCGCAGCCTCCGTCCACACCCTCACGCCCACGACCACTTCGGATATCAAGTCCCCGAAGTTGTGGCTGATGTAGGCGACTGTCGCTTCCACCATGACACTTGTGAGGTATGAAAGTGATAAGTTATTATTTGTTTTACATGGGAATAAAATACGATCTTATTTGCATGTGGTAATATATATATATATATATATATATATATATATATATATATATATATATATATATATATATATATATATATATAAATTCCGGTAATAATTAACCAGATCTAGTAATAATAAACTGCAAATTTTATTTACATTCGATAATAATAAACTACAGATTTTTTAAAATCTGGTAATAATAAACATTTTTTTAACCACTGGTAATAACAAACTATAGATCTTTTAACCATCTGGTTATAAAACTAAGATTGCTGGTGATTTATTGTCATATAGCTTAATATTCAACGTGTTTTATGGTGACGAGAAACCTACATGTGATGCTATTATCTCGTCAATATGAGTCAATGACCTGTCCCTCACTCTGCGTCTATGACCTTACCTAGTGACATCGACAAGATCAAAGGGTCAAAGATTTGCCCAATGTCTGACCTTACCTCGTGACATCGCATCCGACTCGCTGACCTTACTGGTTGAAATCGAAGACGTGAAAAGGGTCAATGATCAGCCCATCACACCATCACTCTGTTCCTGACCTTACCTGGTGACATCGACCGAAACAGGGATCAACAACCTATCCTTCACTCTCTCGCAGCGACCTGACCTTACCTCGCGACATCGACGCTCAGAAAGGTCAATAATCTATCCATCAGAGGGTCAATGATTTATCCAACACTCTGTCCCTGACCTTACCTGGTGACATCGACGCTCAGAAAAGGTCAATAATCTATCCATCACTATTACCCGATCCGACGTCCCTGACCTTACCTGGTGACATCGACCTAAACAGGAACCACTAACAACGTCCTGACATCACCTCGACGCCAGAAAAGGTCAATGATCTATCCCTCACTCTGTCCCTGACGTCCCTGACCTTACCTGGTGACATCGAAGCCAGAAAAGCTCAATGATCTATCCCTCACTCTGCTCCTGACGTCCCTGACCTTACCTGGTGACATCGACGCCAGAAAAGGTCAATAATCTATCCCTCACTCTGCTCCTGACGTCCCTGACCTTACCTGGTGACATCAACGCCAGAAAAGGTCAATAATCTACCCCTCACTCTGTCCCCGACGTCCCTGACCTTACCTGGTGACATCGACGCCAGAAAAGGTCAATAATCTATCCATCACTCTGCTCCCGACGTCCCTGACCTTACCTGGTGACATCGACGCCAGAAAAGGTCAATGATCTATCCCTCACTCTGTCCCCGACGTCCCTGACCTTACCTGGTGACATCGACGCACGCCCGAGCCAACTGCGCGATGTCCTTCAGCAGCTGGTCGTTCCTGAGCTCCTCCACCATCATCAGAACATGGTGGCGAGAGTGCGTGGCCAGCATGTGGGCGGGGGAAGGACTGGCCATCCGCGCCAACCCGTCCATCACGTCCAGGTCCGTGGCCATGGCCCTCGTCACCGATTTGGCCGTGCGGATGATGTCGTCCAGTTCGTCTTGGATGCCGTCCTGGTGGGTCACGGAGAGCGGGGAGTGAATTTCGTGCATCATCGTGGTATAGGTATATTCCGCTAGATTATATCGCAGACTTCGTTCGCTAAATAATCATCGTGGTATAGGTATATTCTGCTAAATCATATTTTAGACTACATTCGTTAAATAATAATCATGGCATTGGTATTTTGCTAGATTATATTTTAGATTACATTCGCTAAATAATAATCATGGTATAGGTATATCTTGCTAAATTATATCGTAGACTACATTCGCTAAATAATCATTATGGTATTGATATATTCTGCTAGATAATATTTGAGATTAAATTCGCTAAATAATCATCATGGTATAGGTATATTTTGCTAAATTATATCGTAGACTACATTCGTTAAATAATAATCATGGTATTGGTATATTCTGCTAGATTATATTTTAGACTACATTCGCTAAATTATAATCATGGTATAGGTATATTTTGCTAAATTATATCGTAGACTACATTCACTAAATAATAATCATGGTATAGGTATATCTTGCTAAATTATAGCTTAGACTACATTCGCTAAATAATAATCATGGTATTGATATATTCTGCTAGATAATTTGACAAAATTCGCTAAATAATCATCATGGTATAGGTATATTCTGCTAAATTATAATTTAGATTACATTCGCTAAATAATCTATTTGAATTTGGTTTTTATGTTTCATTACTCGTATCATTTCACTACCCTTATTGTAATTCCGATTTTTATTTTGCCTAATACAACCTTAGAAAGCAAAAAGGATATAAACGCATCATCACAAAAAAGTCACATATCAGAAAACAAAAAAATAAAAAACAATTTATCATCTAACTTTATGCTTACAAAACAATAAAGAATTTACACTGATCTGAAAGGAAAAACTATATATAATTATAAAAAAACATTATAAACGGAAGAATGATACGAGAAACGCAAACAAAAACAAAAACAAAAGAGCATCGTGAAACCCCAAGCGAATCCGCTTCACGCTCCAAGGGGATCCGATTCCACTCCTCGATCCTTCTCACCTTGAAATCGCTCCACCTACTCCACATGGTGCCGCGCGAGTGGGCCATGGCGTGGAGCAGGAACGGCGGGTGGAGTTGGAACTTGATGTGGACGGCGTCGAGGAGGTCCATCTCGGCCCGACGGGAGTCCACGAGGCCGAGGCGGAGGGCCATCTCGTCCTCCAGTTGGCCGGCGGCTGAGGGGGAGAGCGGACGGCTTGGGAAAGGGCTCGTGATCCTTTTTGACGCGTGTTTTAGGATTACTGTGTTCTACTTATTATTTTATCATTCAGTAGCTGTCTGTCTGTCTATCTGTTTATCTCTCTATCTAGTCATCTAGATATGCATGTATGTATGCATCTGTATATTAATCAATTCATTTATATATCTATTCACCTGTCTACCTACCTACCTACCTATCAATCGATCTGTCAATCTATCCATCCGTACATTTATCTATCTATCTACCTACATACCTGCTACTTGCCTCTCTGTTCACATGGCATATGTATGTCATTCATATTATAGCAATGGCTGGGTATCTTTAAGGGACCAGATAACAATAATAATATCTTTTACACAGAACAAATCAAGTTCTTTTGAAAAGGTACAAAAGAATGTATTGAATCCTATATCTTTTTTTACATCAAGAAAACTGCACCTTTCTTGTTATATACATAATAATCAACAAAGTCTATGGGAAGTAGCAGCAAGTTAAGAACAAGACCTGTTAGCTCCTATAATCATGATATATCTTATATTCATAATGTGATATAATGGTATAACCATATATCATTATCCACGCCTGCGTAGGTGCCCGGGGAAGTATATCAAGTAGTCAGAGTATATATTAAATCTTATAAATTGAATTAATAAATATAAATTAAAGTATAAATTAAATAAAGATATATAAAAATAAAGTATAAATCAAATAAAAGTATAAATTAAAGCGCCCACAGCTCGCACTCGAAGGCCGTCTCGGCTTACTCTTGAGGGCGAGGCTGGCTTGGATACTGCTGGGGCTGAGGCAAGACTTCTGCTCCGCCAGGTAAGTGCGGTTGAACATCCCGACGGAGGCGCCCAGGCCCTTGCATCCCCCGCTGCCTATCAGGTGGTACTCCAGCAGGATCTTTTCCCGAACTGACGGCGTCGTGAGCTACAGGGTGAAGGAGGAAGGGAAATTAGTGAAGGATTCTTCTAAAATCGGTCGTTCGAATGAGAGGTTTGATTTGAGAAACTTATTTTGGGGTTTTTAATTATTTCCAATGAATTAACTTTTATTCTAAAGCATCAATATAGGACTTTTGCATAGAAATAAGAGCTTCGTCCTGTTATATCCTCATCCTATAATCAATCTTTCTTAGAATGGTATGCACTAAAATAATGATAACAATAATAATAACAACAACAACAACAACAACAACAATAATAAACAACAACAATAATAATAATTTCCCCTTCCCTGCATTCCAAAAGCACTCTCTACACCCGCCCCCTTAAGTTCATACCAACCAACTAACCAACAACAACCTGATACCACTGATAGGACTTACGGTGCAATCGGCGGTGGCGTGTCGGTAGCGGTGCCCCGTGTCCAACCCGCAGGTGAGAGTGAACCGGGAGTCGAACTGGGTCTCGTGGTGCTGGTAGGGATCGGGTCGCCAGGAGGGCACCAGCATCACCACACTGACCTGGGCGCTGTCGGGGGAGGGCAGGAAGGACGCCACCACGTCTAGGATTCTCGGGGAGGCGCTCATCGTTTTCTGAAGGAGGCGGCGACGGAGGGGGTGGGGGTAAGGGGGGAGGAGGAGGGTACGCGTTGTGATAAAGGTGGTGGTCTTTTTAGTCTTATTCGATAGAAATATGTGATAAAATGTGTAATAGAGACTAAGAGAGAGGGAGAGAGACGGGGGAGGGAGGGAGAAGGAGAGGGAAGAGGAGAGAGAGAGAGAGAGAGAGAGAGAGAGAGAGAGAGAGAGAGAGAGAGAGAGAGAGAGAGAGAGAGAGAGAGAGAGAGAGAGAGAGAGAGAGAGAGAGAGAGAGAGAGAGAGAGAAAGAGAGAGAGAGAGAGAGAGAGAGAGAGAGAGAGAGAGAGAGAGAGAGAGAGAGAGAGAGAGAGAGAGAGAGAGAGAGTGAGAGAGAGATAGAGAGAGCGCGAGAGCGAGAGAGAGAAGAGAGAGAGAGACGAGAGCGAGAGCGAGAGAGACAAAGACAGCGAGAGGTAGAAATAAATAGATAAATACAGAGAGGTTTTATAATCTCATCCAATAAGAGAAAAAAATATCTAACAAATCCTTCCTAGACCATAGACATAAATACAGAACACCAATCCACGCACTGTGAGGTTCGCGACGAGGATGTGGTTGCCGCTGTCCTGCAAGATCTCGAGGTCGAGTCGAAGGGCGTCCTCCAAGGCACTGAACATGTCCAAGAGCAAGGCAAGGCGGCACGAATGGACAATGGGTCGGCCACGATATTGCCTCCCACTCTGAGAATCTGCGAAGGAAGATCATTTTAGATAAGAAAAAAAGGGAAAGGTAAAAAGGGGGAAAAATCGTGTGGGAGTATTCGTAGTGTTATTGATATCGCAATGGAGAATCTGTGATTGAAGAGCATGAATAAAATGACTTATGAGTAGTAGTAATGGAAGATCAGTTTCCGAAAAGTTTGCAATCAACCCCCCAAAAAGAAAAAAAATGAGTAGTAGTATCCCCATTATCATCTATATCGTAAAGAATAATCTGAAATATAAAATCCTTTCGAAAAAAAAACTTAGTAGCATTCACACTATTATCGACGTTGCAAAGAATCAGAAAGATCATTAAAAAAAAAAAATAGAGGAGTAGCTCTTATCAACATCGGAAAGGATAGATTACGAAACCCCGACACCAGCCTTGACTATGACTTCCTTCTCCTCCTCACCTTATCGAAGGAATTATGATGAAGCCGAGAATGGACCGCCCACTCCGAGGCCCTGGAAGAAGCGTAATGAGCGACACTCGAGTTCCAGGTCACCACGCCCTCGGGATCTCCCGTCCTGTCGAGCCATAAACGAGTCTCCAAGTTAGAACTCGACACCAGACGACCTCCTGGAAGCGACGATATCTCCGCCTCCTCCACGACGTTCTGCCGCGACACCGTCAGGAGCTGGACTGTCCGGTTGGTGGTGTCCAGGAGCAGATCTGTTGAAGGTGAATACGCGGTTGGCTGTTGGTTATGCTTGCTTCGGGAGAGACACTTGTGTTTACCAGGAATGAATAACAGATTATTTCCTTTTTTGGCGCCTATTCACCAAAAATTGTAGAATTGAGAGAGAGAGAGAGAGAGAGAGAGAGAGAGAGAGAGAGAGAGAGAGAGAGAGAGAGAGAGAGAGAGAGAGAGAGAGAGAGAGAGAGAGAGAAGAGAGAGAGAGAGAAGCGAGAGAGAGAGAGAGAGAGGAGAGAGAGAGAGAGAGAGAGAGAGAGAGAGAGAGAGAGAGAGAGAGAGAGAGAGAGAGAGAGAGAGAGAGAGAGGAGAGAGAGAGAGAGAGAGAGAGAGAGAGAGAGAGAGAGAGAGAGAGAGAGAGAGAGAGAGAGAGAGAAGAGAGAGAGAGAGAAAGAGAGAGAGAGAGAAGAAGAGAGAAAAGAGAGAGAGAAAGGGAGAAGAGATAGAGATAGAGAAAGAGAAGAGAGAAGAGCGAGAGCGAGAAAGAGAAAGAGAAAGAGAGAGAAAGAAAGAGAAAGAGAGAAGAAAGAGAAAGAAAGAGAAAGAGAAAGAGAGAAAGAAAGATAGATAGAGAAATACAAACCCAGTGTCTCGGGCGTGAGGCGAAGAGTGGCGTGCAGAAGTCCCCGATTTTCGAAGGTCTCACACGTGACTCGCTGGCACTCCACGCGACGGATGCCACCCGTGACCATCACCTCCTCAGACTAGAATAAATGCATAGATAAATGAATAGATAAAACACATGGATAGATAGATAAATGGATTGATAGATAAATGAATAGATATAATTAAATGGATAGATATAAAGTAATAATAAAAATAAATGATAGATAAAATAAGTAATAGATAAATAAATGGATAGATAAATAAGTAATAATAAATATATGAATAGATAAAATAATGGATAGATAGATAAAGGAATAGATTAAAAATAAATAGATAAATAAATAAATAGATAAAATAAATGGATAGATAGATAAATGAATAGATAAAATAAATGAATAGATGAATATAAATATATAGATAACTTAACAGATAAAATAAATGGATATAAAATAATAGATAGATAGATAAATGAATAAATAACTACTTAATCAAATTATACCTATATTGAATTGTATCAAAATAATCAGGATATAATCTGCTCGCCTCTTTCTCTTCTCTCTCTCTCCCTTCCTCCTCTTCTCTCTCTCTCCCTCTCTACCGTTTCCTCCGCGGGTGAAAGTAACCGAATTCTGCACCAGGGGGTCGTCAGGAGTCTGCCAGAAGAGGGAGTTGAGAGCGTGGGCGGCCACGGAATACGTCCTGGTGGAAGGCGTGCTGCGGGCGTGGGCGTGAGCTTGCAGGCGCACGCACTCCTCGCTGGTGGAACACACGGAGAGCAACAACGCCCGTGTCTCCGAGGTGTGGGTGACGGTCACGCCCACGACCGGGGTGGCGTCGACGGTCAAGTTGCTCTTTATCTGTGGGCGGAGGAGGATGAGGCTGTAGTATGGGAGGAAGGGAGGAGAGGGAGAGATGAGGAGGGAGAGAATGAGGGAGGAATGAAGGAAGGGAGAGGAGGGAAGGGAGAAGGAGGGAGGGAGGAAGGAGGGAGGGAGGGAGGGAGGGGAGGGAGGGGGAGGGAGGGAGGGGAGGGAGGGAGGGAGGGAGGGAGGAGGGAGGGAAGAGAGAGAGAGAGAGAGAGAGAGAGAGAGAGAGAGAGAGAGAGAGAGAGAGAGAGAGAGAGAGAGAGAGAGAGAGAGAGAGAGAGAGAGAGAGGAGAGAGAGAGAGAGAGAGGAGAGAGAGAGAGAGAGAGAGAGAGAGAGGAGAGAGAGAGAGAGAGAGAGAGAGAGAGAGAGAGAGAGAGAGAGAGAGAGAGAGAGAGAGAGAGAGAGAGAGAGAGAGACAGAGAGAAAAGAGAGAGAGAAGGAGAGAGATAGAGACAGACGGACACAGACATACACACACACAGATAGATAGATAGGAGAGAGAGAGAGAGAGAGAGAGAGAGAGAGAGAGAGAGAGAGAGAGAGAGAGAGAGAGAGAGAGAGAGAGAGAGAGGAGAGAGAGGAGAGAGAGAGAGAGCAGAGAGAGATAAGCAAAAGAAAACATCCAAACAGAAAGAGAAAAAGGGAAACAAACAGACAGACCTTGTAAAACAAACAAAGATAATTAAAAAAAAAGAGACGCAAAACAGACCCGTCACCCACCTGCACGCCCCCACCAGGCAGGGCGAGCGCATGACGAACCATCAGGTCACTGTACGACCTGGCATTCACTACGAGGTCACTCACCCCCGCTTGCCACACCCGCTCCTCCTCGACGTCGTGGGTGTAGTATGTTAATCTGCCGAAGTAGAGGTAAGTTTCCGTCTTATTTTGAGCTTTGGTTTAGGTGGTTTTGACTTGTTTTTATTCGTCTGTTCATTTCTATGTGTTTTTAACTTGTATCTATTCATGTATTTATTTCTGTTTTATTTGTTATCATATTTGTTGTTATTATTTTTTGATGAGCGTTTCTGTCAATTGTTCCATGTTATTCAAGTATTTTAAAGACTTGGAGTTTTAGTTGTTGATTTTCGTCATGTATTTACCGAATTTGATATCCTTGTATTAAAAATGCAGACGGTGTGATATAATTTCACTGAAATTGGAACTAAAAATATTGTCCAGAATCGCCACCAATGAAGTAAATATATAGCACCAATTCTGAACACTTACCTTGCAACATGAACAACGAAGGGAAGAATAAGAAAACACACGAATATGTCATATTCGTGTGTGTTCTTGTTCTTCCCTTCGTTGTTCCTGCTGAAATTTGTTCGACATGAATTCCGAAGACTTACCTTGCACTGTGGAGAGTGGCGTTGTGAACCACATGCCGTGGACAGCTAAGACTCCCGTGGGCAGTCCCTACAATTCCGAAGACTTACCTTGCACTGTGGAGAGTGGCGTTGTGAACCAAGTACATGCCGTGGACAGCTTGTTCTCCCTCTCCTTCTAAGTTCGACTCCAACTTCACCGTGACTTTGTCGAAGTTGAGGTGCGGGGCGTCCATCTCGAGTCTGATGGTGCAGTCGCGGAAGGTGCGGAAGTGCACGTCGTCTCGGTACGTGAAGTTGCGTGCACCCCAACTCAGGTCGACGTTCTGGCCGACCAGGGTGGAGAGGGGAGTCGTGTTACTTGGATGCGGTGTCAGTGAGAGAGAGAGGTCGTCAGCTGAGAGCCTGTCAGAGGGAGATAAAGTTTCTTGTAACGGAAGTTCTTTGGGCTTATATGAGAAGGAAGAGTGTTTAGAAGATGGAGAGTAGTGTTTGTCGCGATGAAGTTCTGGTATAGATGTATGTTTTAGCAGGAGCGTTGGTATGAGGGGACTGAGCGAGAAGTTCTTGTAGATGAGGGGAGAGTGTTTAGCGAGAAGTTCTTGTACTGGTTAATGTGAGGTGAGAGATGAGAGAGTTTGTAGCGGAGAAGTTTCTTGGTATGGTTTAGCGAGAAGTTAGGTATGGAGGGGAGAGTGTTATAGAAGGAAGAAGAGGTCTTGGTATGAGGGGAGAGTGTTTAGCAAGATCTGAAGAAGGTCCTAGACTGAACTGGCTTGTTTATTGCTTTTTTTGGAATAGAGGAATGATGTGAAGGGAAAGTGCTTAGCAAGGTCCGTAGAAGGTCTCGGACGTGATCGGGAAAGTGCTTTAGGAAGATCCGTAGAAGGCCATAAGTTGAATTTCAATTGTTTATAGTTTAAACAGAGGAAAGTGTGAGTTAGTTAATCATTTATGAATTCAGGAACAGAGGAGGACTATGAGCGTTTACCAATATCCGCAGAAGGTCTCAGACTGAACTTAGCTGTTTATATATTTAAGAAGAGAGGAATGATGTGAGGGGTAGTAGTTAGCAAGATCCGTAGAAGGGTCTTAAGATTCAATTCTTAGTTAGTTTACACATTTCTATTGTAATATAATTTTCGAGACAAGAGCTCAGAGGGAAAAGTTACAAAGAGACTGTAAGAGTTGCGTTTTTGAGTTTGAGGAAGAAAGGCGTTTTCTTTTGTGTTTTCTAAGAATAAGAATGAGTATTAAAATTCTTTATCATAGACAAATAATACGATGAGCTACAAATCAGTTGTAGTTAATTCTAATAGTATATAACAAAGAAAACAACCCCGCTTATATATGATGCCGCATTTTAAATAACTGTCTTATGATAATTCTGCCAAGTACAGAAACAGGAACTTCATACCTTGAGGACTCTACCAAGGAAGGGAGACAGCCTGAAGAAGGAGGAGGCTCTGGAAGGCGTGATGGAGAGCTGGTGGTGAAGCTTCGTCCTCGAGCCACGGTACACTACCTGTCCGTCACTCGTCAGAGAAAACGAGGTACCATTTCCCTGTAAACGGTGAAAAGTCAGAATACTCTCTTTTGGAAAGTAGCTGACAAGATGGTGGCGTTTCTCGGGTATAAATAATTCGAAATTCAACCTACTGTAATTTTTACGAAATTCAAATCAAATGCCGGTTATTATAAAGGAAAAAAATATAACAACGTTGGTAGAAATATGCAAGTCCGTGATCCCAAACATTACCAAATACCAGCAAGCAATTACCAAGGACCAGAAGTCATTTTTCTAGACCTAGAACACTACAAGAACCCACTCTGATCTTTCAGCGAACCTTTCTGATGCCGATGCTGATATCCTTCAACTCCGTTCTGAAGGCGACGCTGAGGTAGCCCTCCTCTCTGTAGCTCCCCTGGACGGTCACTTCCCGGCCGTCTATGTAGTGGACGGAGATGCTGACGGGGGCGTCGTCCACCGTGCCCTTTACGTCCACCTCGAGTTCTTTGCCCGTGAACGTTCCCTGTGAAGAGGACGGTGCTGAGTGTTCCTATGTGCGAGCAACGGTCTGAGGGAATCGCTTCAGAATGTTCGGAAAAGTTCTTGGTGAGAAGCGGGGTTGTTTTCTTTAAGATGTTTAGGGTAAAGCAATGAGAGGTCAAAGATACATACATACAAACATAAATACATATCCATACATAATTATATATATATATATATATATAATATATATATATATATATATATATATATATATATATATATATATATATAATATATATATAAAGTCCTGCAATACGTTAAAACAGCTACTTTAAGCCATATCTTAGCTTTATTTTGCATCACTTACTATAGCAGAGGCCATAAAGTCACAGGACCCACGGTTCACTTCAGCATTCAGTATCATCAGCTCAGACAAACTGCACCTCGAAACAAACTAACATCAAAAGCTTTTTGTATAACATTTCTCCCTCGCATCCAAACCCTAACTGACCACCCCTCCCTCCTCCGTCTTCCCTTCCACTTCAACTCCCCCTCTAACGACGTCAAGGACAGCACAGCAACAAAGGACGATCATCATCACGCAGTACTGACTGTCATGGTGTAGACGTGGTGGGTGGCGACGGAGCCAGAGTGGGACAGGGAGAGCCGACCCTCCGCCTTAGGTACCTGGATTGTCACTTCGCCGTCTGTGTTGAGGATTTCCCTGTAATCCTTGTACACGACGATGGTGTGGCTCATCTGGGATAGGAAAAAGGGGGTCATTGTGGATACTCGGAATATATATGTAGGCATGTTTTTTTTATTGCATTGATGATGGGAAAACACATGTTCTTCCTATGAATGATGTAGGTGGTGCTCAGGTATATATCTTTAAAGGACGACTCTCATAGTCTACGTGTGTATTTTGTAGGAATTTCACCCATTTACCACATCGTCCATATTTAATCACGGATCGGAATATGCTATCTAATGAGTCACTATGACAGCCGCGCATTACTACCTTCAGTTTACTAGGGTTGTCACTGGCGCTGAAGGTGCCGACCACCGTCGCCTTCAGCTGCTGCCAGATTATGGGCGCCTCTTCGGGGACTCGCAGCTCAGCCGACCCCAGGAGCTGGTGCTCGCCCTGCACGATCTTGTAGGACCCGAGGGCGTCGAAGTTGATCGTCATGTCCCCCCACGTCACCTCCGTCACCACGTTGGCCCGCGTGCCGTCCCACAGCCACGTCGCTTTGCCCGAGATGGGATCCCAGTAGTTGGCGCCGGACAGGGACGTCAGCTGCGGGAGAAAGAGGGAACGACGTTAAACGCAGCTGGACATCGTTACATAGTTGTTATCAGACACACAATGCCGAACTGAATAGGAAATCATAAACAGCTCTGGCTTCTCTCCACACACCGTAACGCCGACGTCGGTCCTGCCATCGCCCTCCTGCTTCTTCACGTGGAGGCGGAAGTGGACGTCGTCAGTCACGGGAGAGTCGATGTTGAGGGAGACCATACCGTCCGCTAGGCCGTGGCTCGTCCTGTGACCGCGGGCGACCAAGGACACCTGAGGATGGTTAAGGAATGGAAGTGAGTAATATTTGTAAAAGTAAACGGAATATAAAATCATCAATGAATGCAGATTTTATTTTGTAAACGGAATATAAAATCATCATGAATGCAGATTTTATTTGTAAACGGAATGTAAACGGAATTGAAAATAATCAATGAATGCAGATATCAATTGTAAATGGAATTGAACACCATCAACGAATGCACACTTTATTTGTAAGAGGAACATAAAATCATTAGCAAATACAGATTTCAAAAGCAAACAGAGCAAAAAATATCTATTACAGTTCTTATCCATATACGGGTATATAACAGGTCTTCTTTAAGGTTGGTACATTAACAGAAATAGAATGTGTAAAAACAGAACAGCGCAGTACATAAAAAGTCAACATGATGACAGAGGAACAGTAAATAAAAAAACAAAGCAAAGAAAAAGAAGATAATGTAAACGAGGTCAATGCATGATGAGAATGATAAATGTCGTAAAATAGACAACCAAACAATTCACGAACTTTTAAAGATAATTAGAATAGGAGAAATGCCAAAAAATAACGACTTAACCAACTCAATTATGAAAAAAAACAGATTATTGATATCCTCAACTAGCTCGACGTAGGGGGAAAATACTCACATTATGGAAGGTTCCAGACGGCAGGCGTAGGTCAAAGGTCATCCCGAGGGCTAGGTCATTGTTGCCCAAGGAGAAGATGAGCTGTGACCCGGCCTCTAACCTGCAAAATGAGATGCAAATCTAGCAACATTGCACGTAACATATCAACGGAGAAACAAAGATTAAAAAAAATAGAGATTTAGAATAGAATTAAATAAAGATGCTTAATACTTATAAAGAATATTCAATTATCTAAAGTGACCTTGATTTAGAGACGTCAAATGGCCTTGATTAAATGACATGAAACGCCCTAGCATTAAGTAACATCAAGCAACTTCGCATAAGTAACCTGATACGACCTTATTCTTAAAACTTTAATCGACCTTGATTCAATGACATCAATCGACCTCGACTCGAGTGACACTCACCTCGACTCGTCCGGCAAAGTGAGGGCGAAGGTGACGCTGTGGTTGTCGCCGACCTCGTCTCCGAACTCGACCTGCAGCTCCGTCTTCCACGTCCACGTCAGCACCGTCACCGCGCCCCTGGCAGGAGGGACAAGGTGGGTCAGGCTCGGGTGCTCTTGGTTTAGTTTTTTTATGTGTGTACTCGTGTTTATGTAGTGTTTGGTACAGGGATATGCGTAGGTATTAGGACGTTTACAGTTGCACATGCACACATAAATTCTATATTTACATACATACATGTATATTATATATATATATATATTATATTTATATTTATATATATATATATAATATAATATATATATAATATATATATATATATATATATATATATATACATATATATACATACACACACACACACACACACACACACGCACACACACAAATACAATATATACATACACATACACACAGACCCCACTCCCCTCCTCGACTCCCACACTACCCCCCTACCTACCCACCCCCTACCCCCCCTCCCCCCCATACAACAAACAAAAAACAAACTTACTTGAGCACAAGCGTCCTCGTCTCAGCCGGGAACTGGATGGCCGAGGACACCGTCAGCGTCTTGGTGTGGTCGCCGCGGACGTCCCAGGCCAGCTCGCCGTCCACGCTCCCGCCGAGGCAGCCGTCGTGGCCCAGGGCGACTTTGCCTTCGGGAGGAGGCGGGGCGGTTAGGGTAAATGGTGGGGGGGGGGGGGAAGTTGGGGATTTAGGGGATTTAGGGGAATCGGTGGGGGAGATTTTGGGGGGATTTGGGTATTAGATGGAGGAAAATTAGGGGATTAGGGTAAATGGTGGGGGAAAAAATTAGGGAAATTTGGGGATTTAGGGGAATCTGTGGGGGAGATTTTGGGGATTTGGGTAATGGATGGAGGAGAAGAGGGACTAGGGGAATCGGTGGGGGAAAATTGGAGTGATTTAGGATTTGGGTAATAGATGGAGGAAAAATTTGGGGATTAGGGTAATGGATGGAAGAAAATTAGGAGATTTGGGGAATCGGCGGGGGAAATTTTTGTGCAGTTAGACTAAATGATGGTGGAAATTTGGGGGTTTGGGTATTCGGGGGGGGGGGGGATATGGGTAGTTAGGGTAATCGATAGGGGGAAATTACGGACTAGGGGAATCGGCGGGGGAAGGTAGGGGAATAAGGCAATTCGGTAATTTGGATTATCGATGTGGGAAATTTTTGAAGTCGTAGAGAAAAATTGGGGTAATTAACGGGAAATAATAGGGTATAAGGGTAATCGGTGGGAGGATTAGGGTATTAGGGTAACCGATGAGTGAAAATTAGGGCACTAGGGCAACCAAAAGGGAAAATTTTATATAACACAATTTAAATTGGTTTTGCAATGGTACTTTTAACAAAGACAATGCTCTCCTTTATTCCAACTACATTTATCTAAAATAAAAAAGTGACTCAACTGAATTTTCTCTTTCAAAAAATCTTTCAAAATTTACTTAAATTTTTTTTTTCAAATCTACTTACAAACCAAAAAAAATCTTTCAAAATCTACTTACAAACAAAAAAATCTTTCAAAATCTACTTACAAACCAAAAAAATCTTTCAAAATCTACTTATAACCCCCCCCCCAAATCTTTCAAAATCGACATAAACCAAAAAAAAAAAAAAAAAAAAAAAAAAAATCATAATCTACTTAGAACCCCCCCAAAAAAAAAAAAAAAAAAAAAAAATCTAACCAAACTCACTCTTAATTTCCCGATTTAGAGGAATAACAAAGACCATGAAATTGATATCCGTCTTGGGCCCGACGCTGTTGAGGGCCAGCTCGCCCTCGTACACGTTCCTGGTCCACGTCTTGAGGAAGAGGTCGACCTCATCCGAGGACGAGCCGTCGAGGGTCATCTCGAAGCCGAAGAGCGTGACGTCACCGATCTCGAGGCCGCAGTGGAGGTTGAGGAGGTTGGAGGACCACTCGAAGGACTCTCGCGCTCTGGAGGACGAGGGTGAGAGGTTGAAGGAGGAGGTCGAGAGGGGGGAGGGAGGGGAAGGGGGAGGGAGAGAGGGGCGAAGGGAGGGAGAGGAGGGGATGAGGGAGGGAGAGAGGGATGAGGGAGAGGGGAGGGAGGGAGGGAGGGATGAGGGAGAGAGGGGAGGAGGGAGGAAGAGAAACGATGGGGTGTTATTAGTTATCTTTTTCGACGCTCACGCAATAATAATAATGATGATAATAAATAATAATAATAATAATAATAATAATAATAATAATAACAACAATTACTAAATAAGAAAATAAATAAATAAATAAAAACAATTCAAAAATTAATAAAAAAATGATAATAAAAAAAAAAAAAAAAAGACAACATTCAAAAGGAAACTCCACTAACTACCTCGAAACACGCCAAAAAAAAAAAAAAAAAAAAAAAAAAAAAAAAAAAAAAAAAAAAAAATCGCAAAAAAATCGCAAAAAATAAATAAATAAATAAATAAAAAACAAATAAATCCACACCCACACTCAACCAGAAATCCCCTCAAACCCATCGACACTCACGCAATCTTCCAGGTGTCGACCCCATCGCGGACCAGGATGTCGTAGGAGAAGTCGAACACCAGCCTGTCGCCGTCCTTGCCCTTGAAGTACCTGGAGGAGGAGCTGTAGACTCTCCCCGAGGGCATGACGGTCGTGCTCTGGCCCACCACGTCGCCCTCGTAGCGCTGCTGGAGGGTGTCCACGTAGCTGAAGTGCCAGGCGGGGAGGCTCAGCTGCGGAGGGGGGGACGGGGAGATAGTATGTATGTGAGTTTAGGTATATATGTATATGTATATATATATGTATGTATGTATGGTGTGTGTGTGTGTGTGTGTGTGTGTGTGTGTGTGTGTGTGTGTGTGTGTGTGTGTGTGTGTGTGTGTGTGTGTGTGTGTGTGTGTGTGTGTGTATATATGTATATGTATATATATATATATTATATATATATATATATAATATATATATATATATATATATATACATATATTTTTTGTTTCAAAGTTTCAAAATCTGGTCGACATTAAAATCTGATCCTTCTTCTCTTCCTCTTCATTCCTTATCGCTTTCCTACCTTCTCCTCCTCCAAACTTTTCCCTTCCTTACCCCACCCTCCCCCTACCCTTCCCCCACTCCCCCTCCCCTACCTACCCTCTCCTCCATCCTCCCCTCTCCCTTTCCCTTCCCACCTCCCCCCCCTACCTCCATCCTCCCCCCTCCCCCCCCTTCTCCTCCCTACCCTACCCCCTCCCTCCTCCTTCTCCACTCCACCTCCCCCACCCTCCGTCCTCACCTCGACCTCCGCATGGTACTTGAAGAGGTCCTCCGTCTGGTCATACAAGTTGGTCATGACCTTGTAGCTCTCGTCTCCCATCTTCCCCGTCAGGAGGTTCTCGAGAGACCTCTCCGTCAGCTGCAGCGTGTGGTCGAATTTCCACATCACGTCCAGGGCTTTGGAGGTGACTGGGTGAGGAAATGGAAAAGAAAAATGGAAAAGAAATGAAATGAAAAAAAGTCGAATAAAAGTTCAAATAAAGGTTATTTTGGTGAAGTCAAATAAAAGTCCAGACAAAAAAGAGAAAAAACTAATAAATAAATAATTAAATAAAAAGTGAAGGAGAAATAAGAGCCAAACTAAACATTAAAATGGGATACACACAAACAAAAACACATAAATAGATAAAAAAAAAAAAGATACAAAGTAACAAAATCCTTCGTCAAGCATCGCAGTGACATACTTCCGTGACGTCATCATTCATCCTATGACATCATCATTCACCCTATGACATTATCATTCACCTATGACATCATCCTTCACCCTTATGACATCTCCCGTGACGTCATCCTTCACCCTATGACATCTTCCGTGACGGTCATCATTCACCCCTATGACATCATCCCATGACGTCATCATTCACCCCAATGACCATTCCTTCCGTGACGTTCATCATTCACCCCATGACATCCTTCCCGTGACGTCATCTCTTCACCCCTCTGACATCATCCTTCACCCTAACATCAATCATTCAACCCATGACATCCTTCCGTGACTCATCTTCACCCCTTCTGACATCCTTCCGTGACGTCATCCTTTGCACCCTCTGAAATTCATCCTTCACCCTAAGACATCATTCACCCCATGACATCCTTCCGTGCGTCATCCTCTCACCCTTATGACATCATCCTTCACCCTATGACATCATCATTCACCCCATGACATCCTTCCGTGACGTCATCCTTCACCCTCTTTGACATCCTTCCGTGACTGTCATCCTTCACCCTTCTGAACATCATTCCTTCACCCTAACACTTCATTACCCCATGACATCCTTCCGTGACGTCATCCTTCACCCTATTGACATCATCTTCGCTCACCCTTATGAACATCATCCATTCACCCTATGACATAACACCATCCCTCACCCTCAATGACATCATCATTCACCTATGACATCTTCCCTCACACCCTCCAGCTTATTGACGACCTCGCGCCACGCCGCTGTACAGATAGGCGTGGGTGGGCGAGTGGGCGGGCTCATTGGCGTGGCTCAGGGAGTGGGCGGGGTCCTGGTCGTGTCCGGGAGAGTGGATGGGCGTGGTGGGCTTCGTGAACCGCCAAGACGTGGAGTGGATGACCTGGATGTCTCTGCGGGTCGCCTCGGGTCCCACCACCATGGTCATGTTGTTGGTGACCTTCGGAAGGGTGGTGGGTTGTAATGGTGATTGTGTATAGTTATAAAATAATGATGATGATAGTAGTAGTGCAGTAATGATGATGATGATAATAGTAGTATTAGTAGTGATGATGATTGATGATGATTTATGATGATGACTGATTAGATGATGATAGTAGTAGTGAGTAGTGATGATGATTGATGATGATTGATTGATGATGGATAATAGTAGTAGTAGTAATGATGATGATGATGATGATGATGATTAGTAGTAGTTAGTAGTAAATGATGATGATGATGATGACAATAATAAATAATGACAATAGCAATAATAATAAATTAAATTATAATAATAATAAATTTAGTTTTATCCGGAAGAACCATAATGAATCACACAGAAAAGCACGCACACACGCACACACACACACAAACACACACACACACACACGCACACAAATACAAAAACCATCAACAGATCCATCATTCAAAAAAAAAAAAAAAAAAAAAAAAAAAAAAAAAAAAAAAAAAAAAAAAAAAAAAAATAAAAATAAAAAATAAATTAAAAACACCACACAAAAACAATCTACTTTTTACCTCCGCATCATAAAACCTTCGTGACGCAGTTGATCCTCGTGTCCAGATGAGGATGGTCTGGGAGGAGCATCTGAAGGTTGACCTCGAAGTGCTGGTCGTTCTTCCCCGAGCCGAGGTTGAGCACGCTGCCGTCGAGCACCACCACTTGTCCTCCCCACGTGACCTACGGGATGGGGAGTGTGTGTTAGGGAGGGGAAGGGAAGGAGGGAAAGATGGGGAGGGGAGGAGGAGGGAGGGGGAGCGGAAGGGGAGGGGAGCGGAAGGGGGAGGGAGGGGAGGGGAGGGGAGGGAGGGGAGGGGAGGGAGGAGGAGGAAGGGAGGGGGGAGGGGAGGCGAAGGGGAAGGGGAAGGGAGAGGGAGAGGGAGAGGGATGGGGAGGGGAGAGGGGAGGGAGGAGGGAAGGAGGAGGGGAGGGAGGAGGAGGAGAAGGAGGAGAAGGAGGAGGAGGAGGAGGAGGAGAAGGAGGGAAGAGAGAGAGAGGAGAGAGAGAGAGAGAGAGAGAGAGACGAGAGAGAGAAGAGATGAGAGAGAGAGAGAGAAGAGAGAGAGAGAGAGAGAGAGAGAGAGAGAGAGAGAGAGAGAGAGAGAAGAGAGAGAGAAAGAGAAAAGAGAAGAAAAAGAAAAGAAAAAGAGAAAGAGAATGAGAGAATGAGGGAAAGAAAGGGAAAGAAAACGAGAGAAGACACACACACACACAAACAGAAAAAGTAAGAACCAAGTCAAATTCAACATTCCTTCCACAACCCCCCTCTCCATTTCCCCCCAAAAAACTCAAAAGACTGACCTGCACTTGACCTTCTACAGCCTTGTCCCTGAGAGCAAAGGAGGCTTCGAGGCCGAGGGCGTGGCGGGGCGTGGAGAAGTGCAAATTCTTAATTGTCAGCACTCTGTCTCCTTTAGCAGGTGTTCGGTATTCCACGGTGCCTGGGAAGAGATAAGAGGTCAGATTACAGATTAGTTAGCAGTGTACTTAATGGATATAGATATAGATATATTTATGCATATATATCTATAATTATAAATAAATACAAAGGCAACTAAAACAACGAAGCTAAGAGCAAGAAAGTTTATTTTTTTGTACTTCCCTTTGTTGTTTTACTTTGTTCAAGATGAATCTTACACACACTGACTCACAGACACAGACACACACACACATCCAACCCCCCATCCCTGCACACATCCCCCCCCACCCCAAAAATCCATCCCCCACCCCCACACACATCCCCCCCCCCACACACATCCACCCTCCTTACACACACATCCACCCTCACCCCACACATACATCCACCCTCACCCACACACACATCCACCCCCACCCCACACACACAATCCCCCCCACACATCCACCCCCCCCCATCCCTACACCACCCACCCATCCTACCCGCCCACACACACACATCCACCCCCACACCACACACACATCCGCCCCCCCCACACACACACAATCCCCCCCACTCACACACCCCTCCCCCCACCCTAAACACACATCCCCCCACATCCACCCTCCCCACACATCCACCCCCCATCCCACCCCCACCACCCATCCTACCCGCCCACACACACACCTTTGAGAGCCGCGTCGAAGTACTCCTTGAGCGTCCCTTCGGTGTACAGGTCGAGGGTGAGGCTCCGGACCTTCTCGGAGAGGTACCTGGCCATGTAGCCTTCCAGCAGCGCGTCCTCCTGCGTGCCCGGGTATGCGATCACCAGGCGGGGCTTCACGCTGACCTGGTGGAAGGTATTTGGAGTGTGGTAAGGTGTATCGTGATTTTGTGGTATGGTTTTGTGAAGTATTTAGATTGTGGTATCGTGATTTTGTGGTATGGTTTTGTGAAGGTATTTAGATTGTGGTATCGTGATTTGTGGTATGGTTTTGTGAAGGTATTTAGATTGTGGTATCGTGATTTTGTGGTATGGTTTTGTGAAGGTATTTAGATTGTGGTATCGTGATTTTGTGGTATGGCGGATCTGTGGTACCGTGATTTTGTGGTATGGTTTTGTGAAGGTATTTAGATTGTGGCATCGTGATTTTGTGGTGTCGTGATTATTGGTATTACTGTTATAATCCTGACAATAGTTTTAGAATGATTTATTATCATCTTTATCATCTATTTATAATCTATTTATTTTACTTTATTATTTATTATCATCCTTGTTGCTTGTCCTCCTCCTCCTCCTCCTGTCCTCCTACTCTTCTCCTTCCACATCCACCTCCTATCTCTCCTCCTCTTCCTCCACCTCTCTTCTTTTTCTTCTTCTCTCTCCTCCTCCTCCTTCACCTCCTCCTCCCTCCTCCCTACCTGCCCCTCTCCCTCATCACCCCTACCCCTCTACCTCCAACTCCTTCTCCACCTCCACCCCCTCTACCTCTACCTCCAACTCCTTCTACCTCGACCTCCACCTCCACCTCGTCCTCGACCTTACCTGCCCTCCATCCGTCACCATCAGAAGCTCACCCTTGAAGCCGTACTCGTTCCCCCCGTAGCCCATGTGGACCTCCAGACGCTTCAAGTTGGGGTCGTTCACCACAGACACTGGGGGGAGGGGGGAGAAGGTAGAAGAGACGGGGGGGGGGAGAGAAAATAAAAGCTCGTATTACTGAATATAAACCAAAAAATATTGGTATGTTTAGGTGTATGTATAGTACAATCTATGTGGGTACGTAAGAACAATTAAGAGACAACATAAAGCATAAAATATCAGCAATTGGATGATATAACAGCATCAAGCCTCATAGAACAAATCGGTTAACCAACATACTAATGAGGACCAACCTGCATAAACATACAGGTGAATAACCGAACATACAAACATAAATCTATAAATCCACAAATTCACACATATACACAAACAAGTCAGTCCACAAACACAAACATAAACACAAACGAATAAGTCCACAAACACACACATAAACAAATCAATCCACAACCAAAAATAAACCCACAAACACACACATAACCACAAACAAGCAAGCACACAAACACACACACATAAACAAACAAATCCACAATAAAAAATAAACCCATAAACACAAACATAAAAATTAAACAAATAAGCAAGTAAGCACACAAACACACACACACACAAACAAACACTAAACAACGAACCTTCTCCCGAGGCCGAGAACTGCTGGCTGACGAGTAGGATCTTGAGGGTGACGTGGGGACTGTAAGTGAACCCGAAGACGAGGTCGGCCTTGCGCTCCCGCTTGGCACCCTCGGCCTCCACGTGCACGTCGAGGAAGAGCGAGTTGACACCTGGCAGTGAAAAGGAATTCGGTTATTTTCCCTTATGTCGTGTGAGTGGATATATGGTCTTTATCTATCTGTTTTTTTCTGTTATGTATCTATTTATTTATCTTTGAGTCTATATATCCAACTTTTTATTTGTATATCTAGCTATATATTTATTTATCTATCTATCTATCTACCTATTTAGAAATAGATAGATAGATAGATAGATAGATAGATAGATAGAGAGAGAGAGAGAGAGAGAGAGAGAGAGAGAGAGAGAGAGAGAGAGAGAGAGAAGGAGAGAGAGAGAGAGAGAGAGAGAGAGAGGGGGGGGGGGGAGAGACAGCGAGGACGGCGCCAGAATCGCTCACCAGGATTCTTCCACGAGAAAGCCAGCTTGTATCCCGTGATGTCCCTCTCCGCCTTGTGGACGTAGCTCTTCTTCAGGAAGGTCGCCGCGTGCCTCCCCCTGGCCCAGCGCGTGTCCGTCCGTGCCTTCAGGCCCAGCACGTCGGCCAGGGCAGCGTTGCATGTCCTGTGCCTGAAGGACCTCCCGGCGAACCTCCTGCCTCCTCTTTCAGCGCCCCCTTGCTGTCTCGGGGTGGTCTGGTTCTCGAGGCACTCTCCGTCGATGTCTTCCTCGTCGTCGTCTTCGAAATCACCGTCAAAGAACTCGTAGGCATTATCTCCGCTGTCATCGTCATCACCATCGTCATCATCGTCGTCGTCGTCACCTTCAGTATTCCCAAGGTCTCGGCCACTCACCGGTGGGTGGCGAAGGGCGCGAGTGACCTGAGTGCTGTAGCCGTGATAAGAGTTCTCCGGGAGGTCCACCTTCAGCTCCATACTGTCGCCACCGCCCTGGGAAAAAGAGAAAAGGATTATTAATTTAATATAACGAATTTTTTAACACGACGAGATGCCACTGGTAAACAATCCTCATCTACGCATTTAGCATACAAGGCAAGTAACATCAGACATATCCTTATTCATAGGGACAAGGACTTGTTTCAGAGACGAAAATGATGAAGGAACACGTAGCTAACGAAGCTGGACCTGTTCCTTACGTAACTTAATATTATCTTTTTCAGTTCTTTCACTATCTGATCTGACTGTACTTACGTTGACGGTCAGTGATGCTGTTACGTCACAACCCGCCGTTTTGGGAGAAGACACAGATGCTGTTACATCTCCGGATAGAGAAACGACGCTTAGTTCTGACACCACGTATGTGCCCGCGCTGTCAAAAAATAGATAGATAAATAAAAGTAAATAAATAGATAAAATCAATACAAAAGGTAAGACGGTAACACCCAAGAAAAAGACAGTCTTGCAAAAGATAAGATGGATGATTCAACATGACCAACACTTTCTAATAAATACAAGATGCGTTTCAACCAACCGACCTAGGTGAGAGAGCAAGATTGACCGTCGCTGAATTGGGGTTGGTCAGGAGGCTCAAAATATCGACCTTGGAATACCCTCCGACGGCAACCATCCCGCCCATCCTTTGGGACACTTCCAAGGGCGTCCCCAGCAGGCTCCAGGACCTCACAGACTCGTCCACCGCCGCCCATCCTGATGCTAATTCCACCTGAAGAGATACGGACACATTTCATCATATTTTCTCTATAATGTAACGGGATTTATACACCTTTAAAAAGACATATATAATAAATAGCATGTTTTTTAAGAGCCGACTGAATATCTGCGGAATCTATTTTGTCTGTCTAGTTGTGTGTGCCGATAAACAAATACATTTGGCAATACTGGAAAAAAAATCAGTGACATGTAAAGTAATGCGTCATTCCAAGGGCGAGATACACCTTAAAGAAGAAGAAGAAGAAGAAGAAGAAGAAGAAGAAGAAAAATAAACTTTTCGATGAAAGTCCATCCTGGCAGAATCGTACCAAATAAAATCTACCATAAGACCAGCAGCCCTGCCCGAGGACAACCCTTCACAAGGTCAACCCCTACGCAAGATTAACCCTATAGGACCCCACCCCCCCCTATCCAAACCAAACCCCAAACCCCAAATCTTACATTAGCTCTGCACGAGGACAACCCTTCACAAGGTCAACCCTACGCAAGATTGACCCTATAGGACTCCCCCCCCCCTTATCCAAACCAAACCCCAACCCCAAATCTTACATTAGAGTTGAGAAGAGCAGAGTAGGACGCCTCGAAGACCCGTTCCAGCCACTGGTCCAGCAGAGCCTCCCACTGCAGCGTCAGGGGATCCAGCGCATAGGACGAGAAGAGAGCATCCTGACCGCCCATGGCCACGTACGCCCATCCGCGGAGCTCCGTCACCACCTCTTGCTTCACCTGTTGGAGGGCGTGTTCATTAGCGTTGATTAGGGGCTTTAAAAGGTGAAATGAAGTGCTGAGGTTTTGTTATATATTCGTTTTACAGATGCATTGCGGATCGTATTGTAAATATCATAGAGTTCATGTGAAATGATGAAGTAAATTATAAATGTAACAAAATTGTAAACACACACACACACACACACACACACACACACACACACACACACACACACGCACGCACACACACACACACACATATATAATATATATATATATATATATATATATATATATATATATATATATATATATATATATATATACACACACACACATATATCTCCAGTTCCAAAACCTTCACCCACTTCCTCAGGACCCGCCACACCCACCACCCACCTTGGCCAGAATCGCCTTGACATCATCCACGTCATAGCTCCTCTTCTCCCTCTGGCGGCTCTCCACGAAGTCCCTGGAGGCGCCGGCGAAGACCTCCCGGAGCTTCTGCAGGAGGGCGTCGACCCACTCTCGCACCGTCCCGCCCGCTGAGCCGTCGTGTCCGAAGAGGGTCTGAAGCAGGTCTTCGAGGTTCTCCAGTCGGCCGCCAAACTGTGAGGAAAATGGCAGGTCAGTTTAAGTGCATTTGTATCTATGGTTATATCTATACGTGTATCTATGTCTGTATCTATATCTATACCTGTCTCTATGTCTATGTCTATACTTGTCTCTATGTCTGTCTATATCTATACCTGTCTCTATGTCTATGTCTATATCTATATCTATACCTATCTCTATGTCTATATCTATATCTATACCTGTCTCTATGTCTATGTCTATATCTATATCTATACCTGTTTTGTCTCTATATCTATATCTATACCTGTCTCTATGTCTGTCTATATCTATGGCCTATACCTGTATCCTTATCTATGTCTATATTTATATATATGGCTATGTCTATATCTCTTTCTCTATCTCTGTCACTATCTACATCTGTAAGTATATCAACATCAACATATGTATATATATATTTTTTTCTTTCTAAATTTTGCCGATGGTAAAAATACATCAAATATTCTCATTAAGTAACGGAAAAAAACAGAAATCTGAGGTAAATCACAAACATTTTTTTTTTGCTGATAATGACACTTTAAAATCGGGAAATCTTCATACAGATCATCAAAAATAAAATGAAATAAATAAATAGATAGATAAATATAACAAGAATAATAATAATAAACATGGTAAAAAAAAAAACATAATAATAATGTTGATAATAATAACAACACTATTAATACTACTACTACTAATAATAATAATGTTGATAATAATAATAATAAATAATAATAATAATAATAATATAATAAATAATAATAATAATATAATAATAATAATAATAATAATAATAATAATAAATAATAATAATAATAATAATAATATTCATAATAATAATAATAATAATAACAATATTAATAATAATAATAATAATGTTGATAATAATAATAATAATGAAGATAATAATAAGAAAACAAATAAAAGGATGCATTCCCCTTGTGTAGGTTCCACTTATCTCTATTTCATTACAGCCTTTTGTTTATGCACAATATAAAGAAAACTGAAGATACATCTGTTCTTATTCACCAAAAAGGCGGCATACTAATCATCATTATAATTACCTGAACACTCCCGCCAAAATATTTCAGCCACGAGGAAGTCAGGTTGAAGTCGACGCTCCTCGGCAAGAACGAACTCTGGAACACGACGTCGGTTTCGAGCAGCGTGTCCGAAACCCCTGTCAGCGACGTCAGATTCGCGACCAAGTGCTGGGAGAACTGGCGGAGGTCCTTTCTGTCGTCGCCGTCACTGGGCACGAAGCTGCTCACGTAGGACTTGACTGTTTAAGGGTGATTTTGTTATTAGTTCTAAATTAAATGCTATTCGTATTCACCAAAACTATTATGTTCATATAAACGGGTCGAACTTCCCAAAATCCGGCACTCTCGGGATTTAACCGTTGCCGAACTATGGAAATTTCCCAGACTACGGAATAATGGTACCTAACATTCGGCTTAACCTCTTAGGGAATTATAGAGAATATATCTTTATAACAAAATACAGGGCAATTTATCTATCAATGTAATATTTAGTCATTTTAAAGTGATTCGATATTCATATATTTTGTCCGTTTTGAAGATGATACTATTAATAACTCAGTTATGACGCATCAATTTATGATTTCCAATTTCATACCTTGGGTGTCCGAATCCCTCTTGGTGATAAGGATGGCTGCATCTTCGGCTTCGTTGGAATTGCAGGAGTGCAGGGACCGGAAGGCGGCAATCCGTAGCTCCGCCCCCACCGTTTCATTAAGGACCTCCCACTTTAGCCAGTTTGTGGTCTGCGGGCGCAAAGTGGTTGGTGCCAAGGTCGAGCCGCGTTGGGCAAAGGGGAGACGTGAAAAGACATTTGAGGTGGTAATAGTTACGCGAAAATTGAAACAAAACATTTTAAAATTTTAATCTCTATTTCCGTTTGCCTGTTTTTACCTCTATATTAATATATACTGATACTTATCTGCCCAAGTCCATATCTCTAACTTTTTTATCAATCTATTAAATTAGCCATCTACAGTCTAACTTTTTTAATCTACTAAATTATCCATCTACAGACGTATCCACGCACATGTAAATCCATTAAATCCCCCGGTTTTATATGCACCGAGCCATCACGTCATCCGCCAGGCCACCACCCACCTGCATGGGGCAAGGTCCTCGGCCCAGGGCGATGACGGCAGCCACACGGACGGTAGTGTTCACGCTGGCATCGCCGCCACATGTCTGTAGGATTTCACTCACGCCACGCCCGTACACGCCCACGTTGCCCAGCCCTCGCATGGCCAAGACCGTCTGAAAAATAAGTCAATTGTAGACGTTATGATATTAAAACAAACAAGTAAGGGATGATAGGATGGAAGAAATTTAACATTCTCACATAGAAAAACAAAACAAAAAGGGGTGATACGATGGAGGAAATTTAACATTCTCACATAGAAAAAAAAAAAAAGTTGATAAAACAAACATGCACAGTGTCACCAGCTCTCGTCTCGCACGTTACCTGGTGGACACCATCTGCATCCGCGTGGCTGCAGGCGGTGAGGCGACTCGCCAGCTGGTCTATGATTGCCACTACCGCTTGGGCGAGACCACATCTGTCACCACCTGTCATTAGAAGTTTAGTTGTGTTATCAGATTTATACCTCAGGGTGGACTTACATACATCTCAAATTTCCTACGTTTCCATAGGATTAGCCAATGTTCTCGTGAAAAATTATGCGTGAAAAATTACGACTAATACAGACCTAATTTCCGGAATTGTGACTGTAAATGTCCGAACGCATAACCCGCCCCTTCGTACCTTGCTGACACCTAGAGTTGTTCAGGACACACCGTCGCCGCCCACGGACGCCCACGCACGCCTCCTCGGCCGCCCGCCTCGCCATCCCTGACACGCCAAGCACGGCCTGCTGCCAGTTGGGACCCTCGAGGAGCTCCTGAAGAACACAACGACCCAGAATGAACACCCATATATGCTTAACAACACTCCCTCCTCCATACGTGATAAATCTCTACATTTCTCAAGCGCCGAATTTAATGAGAAAAACATTCGTTTGTTTAGAACTCCAACCCCAAGGGGCATTGAGGACACCAGGTCATACTCGGCGAGGTCAAAGTTCATGGCCGTGGGCAGAGGATACTTTGGTTTAAGTGCAATGGAGGGGAGGAGTCGGGTGGGCCGAGTACACACCGATACAAGCGGTGGAGGCAAGAGTTCGTAGTTGGTCCCGACGGCTTTTGTTGTGCATTGAAAACTGCGTCGCTTCTCGTGTAAAAATACGGTATTGGGATGTGAATATAATCGTGAAATACATAAAAAAAAAAAAATAATGTGTGATAATGTCAATGCCTAGAATCCCGTGCGAACTTGTAGATAATACCATTAGATTAATCACACTATCCTTGCTATGACACCCGAATCATGACAGATTGCTTAGCGCTGAGTGCCCTGACTACAAATGCATCCTTATTTACATCTGATAAATCTATCATTCTACTTGACAAGCCTGGCATACCATACAGGTGTGAAGGGCGTCCTCGGTGGGGCCTCGCACGTGCCCCAGAGAGGTTATCCAGCTGGGCTTGTGAACAACTGCTCGTGACGTCATCAGTTGACACTTGGCTGCAGCAGCGGCGGGGGAAGTGGAGTCACGGAGAGCGTCCTCGTATAGTTTTCTGAAATGCGAGGGAAAAAAAACTATAAAACAGCAATAATGTAGGACGAAAGTACAATTCAATTTTAATATAAAGGAGAATACATCTACTACAGTACCCAAATTTATTTCCTAGGGCCATTTAGAAGCACGGATCAAAATGCATTGGTTAAGCCGATCCTGTTAAAACTACATACATCGTTTTCTTGCTTATCTCGCCCACCATAATCAGAGATCAACCACCACATCCTTTAATACCCACAAATCTGATGCATTAGTTCAGGACACGCTTGCATGAGAGGTCGATAAAAAATTATTTATCGTTTTTCCCAAAGTCAGAATAATTTAACTACGTATATATGACACTGCATTAGGAACAAATCAGGTGATCATTTTCTAACAAGAAACTACTATAGATATAAGAAACTACTGTGAATATACGAACGACTATTGCAAATAAACGAAATATTAATATAAAATATACGAAACTGCTAATATAAATATACGTAATACTAATATTGGTATTAGAAATTACTAATACAAATATGCGAAATACTAATATAAAATATACGAAACTGCTAATATAAATATACGAAAAATACTAATATGAATACAAGAAACTACTAATACAAATATAAGAAATACTAAAATAAATTATAAGATATTACTAATTATCAAAAATAAAGGTAACTTTGCCGATGACTTAACTTACCGAACTCTGCTGTGTTGGCTGCATACGTCCCCTGAGGTCACCTCCTTGAAAACTCGTATGACCTCGTCTTTGCTCAAATCTTTAAGACTGGAAACCAAAGTAGAGTAAAGTATAGTTGCTTTCGGCGTGACGCGATGTTCCGTTTCGTCGCACATCTCCTGCAGAAGTTGCCTGACGAGGTCGTAAGGTTGTTTGTCGCTTGCACGTCGTAAGGCAGCGTTGTCAAGGTTGAGTTCGACGAGGCCTGTGTAGCGGGAGAGGGTGGGGGAGAAAGGCTAAATCAGTAGCAACTCGAGGAGGTGTCATGGCGTCTGATTCTATTTTTAGAAAAAAAAGCACGTGGGGTTTATTTTGATGACGTCACAAAAGTTACGAATGCTTTGTGAATGTGGTCGATCATTTTTTTGGTCTTTCCAAAAAAATAATGACTTTGTTACATTTTCATTGAACAATCATCAAAATAGCCCTGTGGGACACCATGACACCTCGAGTTGCTATTGATCTAGCCTTTAGGGAGAGGAAGTCAGGGGCTACGGAGGTAATTGTTATGTTTATCTTTGAAACTTTAATGTTTTTTGTTCGTATTTCTTTCTGTGTTTGGACTTTCGCTATCGAGTTGATTGTAGGATTGATATATGATGTTATGGTAATGATTCTAGTATCGAATTAATTAAGAGTATGACATTCTGTACTATGAAAGTCCACGTGGATTAACTTTTACGTCTGTAAGCCTATCTGTTCGCCCTTCTCTCTCTTCTCCCTCTCTCCACCTTCCTTCCCTCCCTTTCCCTTTCTCCACTTCCCACCCTTCCTTCACCTTCTCCCACTCCCCACCTTCTTCCCTCCATTCCTTCCCCTTCTCCCTCTTCCCTCCCTTCCCCCTCCCTCTCCCTCTCTTCCCCCTTTTCCCTCTCCCCACCCTTCCCCTCCCTCCCTCTCCCACCTTCCTCCTTCCTCCCCTTCTCCCTCTCCCACCTTCCTCCTTCCCTCTCTTCCCCTTCGTCCTCTCCCCACCATTCTTCCCTCCCTCCCTCTTCCCTCCCTTTCCCCTTCTCCCTCTCCCCACCTTACCTCCCTCCCTCCCCCACTCACCAACGGCATCAGAGTCTCCCAAGCCACTGTATCGAGACTCGACGAAAGTCAGGTTGAGTTTGGACGCAAAATCGGCCGCGTTGTCGACCCTCACGTCCTGGTGGCACGATACGTTGTGCAGGAGGCCCTCGCCGCTGCTGCTGCGTGGGTGGGGACGCTGCCGAGGAACGTGTGTCGGCATCCCCAAACCTGCAGGAGAGAAGGGAGGTACAGACGCCGTTGGGGAACCACGTGGCGGGAAAAATCGTGGTATGGATGGTTGCGTTGGGTTTGGGTTGATTTTTTTTTTTTTTTTTTGGGGGGGGGGGGGGGGGGGGGAAGGGGGTTTTATTTGTGTGTTGTGGTATTTTACTTATTTTTTATGTTTGATTGTTTGTTTATTAGTGCGTTATTGCGTTTTACTCAAATTTATAGGTTTGGAGGCTGTAGTGTTTCATTCATATTTGATTGTTTTTTTCTGCTGTTTTATTTAATCTTTTTGCTTGATTGTGTATTTGTTTGTTGCAGTATAACTCAACTATTTTTAGAATAAGCTGGAGTGATATCCTTCACTTTCATTCGAGCCAACAAGTTTACATTAAAAAAGGTTGCTAGTTTCATCATTTTTTCCACAATTGAAAAAAATGCTTCTCTCTCTCTCTCCCTCTCTCTCTCTCTCTCTATCAACAAAGTTACCAAAGCCAGAACTTTCAACAGTTCCTATCCGACACAAGAAAACCGCAAAATAAATAGACCTACAATATCACACCAACCTAACGTAAAAAAAACAACAACAATAACCGCATGATTTTTTCCTCTTTTTTCATGTAAAGATAAGCCTACATGGTTGTCGCGACCTTGATCTAGTTAGCCGATGAGGACAAATTTACGAGCATCCTGTATGTTACTCGTTCACTCTGGGTGGCCAATATATTCATCAGCAGCAGCTCGTGGATCCTGTGGCGGGCATCGAGGCCACTGCACACCTCTGACTATTTAAGGGAAATTGGGCCAACACTTACCTCTGATTATTAAAGGGAAATTGGACACTTGGACACTAAACTCTGATTATTAAAGGAAAATTGGACACTTGGACACACTAAACTCTGATTATTTAAGGGAAATTGGACACTTTGGGCACTAAACTAATTATTAAAGGGAAATTGGACACTTACCTCTGATTATTAAAGGAAAATTGGGCCCTTAACACTTGCCTCTGATTATTAAAGGGAAATTGGGCCCTTAACACTTACCTCTGATTATTTAAGGGAAATTGGACACTTGGACACTTACCTCTGATTATTAAAGGGAAATTGGACACTTGGACACTTACCTCTGATTATTAAAGGGAAATTGGGCCCTTAACACTTACCTCTGATTATTAAAGGGAAATTGGCCCTTAACACTTACCTCTGATTATTAAAGGGAAATTGGGCCCTTAACACTTACCTCTGATTATCAATGGGAAATTGGACACTTGGACACTAAACTCTGATTATTAAAGGAAAATTGGACACTTGGACACTAAACTCTGATTATTAAAGGGAAATTGGACACTTGGACACTTACATCTGATTATTTAAGGGAAATTGGACACTTGGACACTTACCTCTGATTATTAAAGGGAAATTTAACCCCTTAACACTTGCCTCTGACTATTAAAGGAAAATTGGAAACTTGAACACTAACCCCTGATTATTAAAGGAAAATTGGGCCCTTACCACTTACCTCTGAGTATTAAAGGGAAATTGGGCCCTTAACACTAACCCCTAATTATTAAAGGAAAATTGGGCCCTTGACACTTACCCCTGATTATTAAAGGAAAATTGGGCCCTTAACACTTACCTCTGATTATCAAAGGGAAATTGTACACTTGAACACTAACAAATCTGAAATTGGATCCCTGAACACTAACCTCTGATTATCAAAGGGAAATTGGGCCCTTGAAAACTAACCACTGATTATCAAAGGGAAATTGGACACTTGAACACTAATCTGAAAGAACACTCACTAACTCTGATTATTTAAGGGGACACTTGGGACACTGGAAATTGGAAACACTTGCACTTGAAAACTAACAATGAACATCCAGTCTAAACTCGTCGTTAATTTACGACAATGGGCCTTACTGCTGTGTCTGTGAGTCTGGGAAAAACTGAAATGTCTCTCCTGACGGCGGTCTGAGCGCTGGGCTGGCAGGTGGAGAGGTCCCTGGTTCTCGAGATGGTGTAGTGGGTGGGGGCGAGGTGCTCCAGGTGGTACTGGGTCTCGCAGCGTCCCAGGTGGTCCGTCTGGAGGGCGAGAGAGTGCGTGGTTAAGGGTAGAGGGGTGGGGGTGGGGGTGGGGGTGGGGGGTAAGTAGTATTGGTGATCGGGTTTATCTTTATCATGTGGGGTGTGTTTTGTGTCTTCTTTTTTTTGTGGTTTGTGTGTGTTTGTCTGTCTCTGTCTCTCTATCTGCCTCTCTCTCTCTCTCTCTCTCTCTCTCTCTCTCTCTCTCTCTCTCTCTCTCTCTCTCTCTCTCTCTCTCTCTCTCTCTCTCTCTCTCTCATACAACACACGCACTAGTATAATTAGTGTATGTGTATCATTACATAAGAACATATGTAAAGAATATATTTACATGACAACTGAGTAACCGATACAAGTACACGCATGCAATAGCAACAAGCAAACCAGGTGCTTAGACTTCAGCCTTCAAGAAAGACCCCAAACTGAAGTCGTTTCCTGAGGGCGCAGTTTACCTCCAGCAGCAGCGCGTCCCTGAAGTCCCACGAGGTCGTAGCGACGTTCAGGACGGCGGACACGACGCTCCTGGCCAGGGAGTGGGCGTGGGCGGCTTGGGTCTTCGTGGGCGTGGCCTCCGGACGACCACACACCGCCCGCACTTCTCCGCCGGACACCACGACCCACGTCTCGACTTCGGGCGCGGATGGCTGCAGGGGGGTGGGGTGGGTGTGGGGTGGGGTGGGGGGTGGGTGGGGTGGTGATAAAGGTATGATTACACGCTATTTTGTGTGATTCGTAAATCATTAAATCTTATTTTCTTAATATATTATGTTGTATTATTATTCTGACATTACGCAATTTGAAGAAATAATTGGACGGTATTTTGCGTCTCATGTTGCTATCGTTACCTATATTTTCTATATATTCCACCGTCACGTATCTAATTTGTTTATAAAAACAAAAAAATTAGCTCGATCTCCTTACAAAAAAAGAAAGAAAAAGAAAGAAAGAAGAAAGAAAGAAAGAAAGAAAGAAAGAAAGAAAGAAAGAAAGAAAGAAAGAAAGAAAGAAAGAAAGAAAGAGAAAAAGAAAGAAAAAAAAGAAAAAGAAAACTCACCTCTTCCAATCGCTAAAGAAGGCATTTTCGAGGACGACCTTCAACCGACACTCCGACACCCGTGTGAGAGCGACGTGGCCCCTGAGGGTGACTCTCCTCCTCGAACTAAGGGGCTTGACGGCATCCGAGCTGACCCTCAAGTCCCACCAACCGTCGAGGCTGTACCTGCTTGTCACGTCCAGAGGCAAGTGGTCGAGGCCGAGACCTAAGGAGAGGGAAATGCGTGACTCGGTTGAAGGAATTCGTTGGAGGGAGGGAGGGAGGGAGGGAGAGAATGGGAGGGAGGAGAGAGGGATAGAGGGAGGAAGGGAGGGAGAGAGAGAGAGGGAGGGGAGGGAGGGAGGGAGGGAGGGAGGGAGGAGAGAGGAGAGGGAGGGAGGGAGAGAGAGGGAGAGGGGGGGGATTGGCAGAGGGAGAGAGCGAGTGAGAGAGAGAGAGAGAGAGAGAGAGAGAGAGAGAGAGAGAGAGAGAGAGAGAGAGAGAGAGAGAGAGAGAGAGGGAGAGGGAGAGGTGGGGTGGCAGAGGGAGAGGGAGAGTGAGTGAGTGAGTGAGTGAGTGAGTGTGTGTGTGAGAGAGAGAGAGAGAGAGAGAGAGAGAGAGAGAGAGAGAGAGAGAGAGAGAGAGAGAGAGAGAGAGAGAGAGAGAGAGAGAGAGAGAGAGAGAGAGAGAGCAGAGACAGTGTGAGTGAGCTTGAGTGTGTTGTGTGTGTATGTGTGTGAATGTATGTATGCATGCAAGTATGTATGAATGTGAATGTTTACATGCATATCAGTGTAATAAGATTTCTCGGCAATTTCATAAAATGGACAAAGTTGCCAAAGCCAGTATACTGACATGTAAATCCATCGTATATGATTTTATTAAATATTTTTCTCAATTCCTATAAGTATGTACCTTTTTATCGAATATTTTTCTCAATTCGTATAAGTATGTACCCTTTTATCGAATATTTTTCTCTATTCCTATATGTATGTACTATGCCATTTGCTTAAATATCATTTAATGGCAACTGTAATGATAATAGTATAGAACAAAGGATAATGATATTAAAAAGGATAATGATAAGAATGGAAATAAATGAAGCTAATGATAAAGATAGCAATGATAGTGACACCGATAATGTAAATAAAATGATAGTGATAATATGATATGATACTAATGAAAATACTAATATTGGCAATATCATTTTAAAAAATCTTACTCTTGATAGCAAAAACAAAATTGATAACAATAACAATGAAATGATGGTAAGCATAATGTCAATAATCATGACGATAATGATGAGAAAAATAGTGATAATGATACGTTAACTAATGCTGCAGATACTTTATATAATATATATATATATATATATATATATATATATATATATATATATATATATATATATATATATATATTGATTTTGTTGTAATAAATGTTAATAGTAATCATGATAATCACGAGGATAATAGTAATAGGAACAATGATAATAATGAATATATTAATATCACTAATGATGATGCTAATATTAGTAATACTAATGAAAGAGTACTATTAATAGTAATATTTATAATGATAATAACAATAGTAATGTACTATAATAGTAATAATAATAGCAACAGCAATAACTACAAAAATAATATAATGATAATAATAATAATGATGATGATGATGATAGTAATAATCAACAACAATAATAATAATGATAAGATTAAGAATAACATTAATGATGATGATGATGATGATGATGATGATGATGATAATGATAATAATAATAATAACAATAACAATAATGACAATAATAATAATAATAATGATGATGATGACGATAATACAAAAAATAATGATAATAATAATGATGACGATGACGATAATAAAAAAAATATTGATAATAATAAATGATAATAATAATAATAATGATAATAATAATAATGATAACAGTAAAAATAACAACTGATAATAATAGTATTTGTGTTCATATGCGCGCAAGGGTGCTAGTGTGTGTTCACTTACTAATACTAATTTTTACCAAGTCAAAACACCAAAAAGCAGGTTAGCAACTGCGAATCCCAGACATGGCGAGTAAAACGTGTGTTTGAACCCCCGCATCCCGGCTCGAACTCTCCGAATCTGTTTAAGTTCAATTGAACTTGCCTCCAGCGAATACGGACGCCCATAATTATGTCCGCAATGTCACGTGCAGCATCCCCACGTGACTTCAGAATCTTCTCGAATGCACATTTCGAAAGGTAAATGAACATCGTTTGAACTAAATTCGGTTTGAATGGATCACGTAAAGGCAAGAGGAGACAAAAAAGGGATAAAAAAAACACTAACTTGACTCCCGTCCTCGCGCTGTTGCTAACCAACGTTCACTGATAAGAACACTTAAGATAAAATATATATCTATAAGCCATTGCTGGTTGGACGAATTTAACCCTAGACGACTTGCATAACACACCATTTCGTTATCTATAAGGGACGGAAGAGTAAAAGTGTGACACATACATACTGGACACTAACAAACACACATGCACACTTAAACAAAAACAACAAGCAATTACGGAAATAAATACATACACAAATAACACACATGCACTAACACACTTCCTCAAACAAACAAACACGAATAAACACATACATACACACATTCAAACAAACAAACAAACAGATATAAACCCATTTACACCGAACGAGAAAAGATAGAGTAAATATATT